TGCCTCTGCTAGTACTGCAGATAGTGTCTCCCTTGCCCTAGGTGGCTATTACCACGCTGTGCCTCTTTTAAGATTGTAGTTAAAGAATAGTGTATTTTGAATACACATCATGGCATCATTATATTTCTTGTGAGAAGATATTCCTACTTTCAGATTAGTATGTTGTACATATTGCTTTTATTTGATCCTAAAACCAGTCAGGATATGAGGCAAGGGAGAATTCCCCTTCACCTTTAATTCTATGAAGCCTAATAGGATTTTCTCTTTCCTGAACTAATTTACCTTGGAAGGGTATAGATATTGAAGTGATAGGTACTTTAGAAATTGCATATGGACTTGGTGTTAAAACTACAAGAATGTTTCCAGAAGTCGCCCTCAGATTTTACATGAAGCCAGTTCTTAAAGGCAGGACTCCAGTAAGGTATCCAGCAAGGGAGGTTTAGATTGGATATTAGGAAAAACCTTCTCACTAGGAGGGTAGTAAAACACTGGAACAGGTTACCCAGAGAGGTGGTGGAAGCTTCATTCTTGGGGGTTTTCAAAACTCGATTAGGCAAAGCTTTGGGTGGGATGATCTGGTTGGGAATAGTCCTGCTTTGAGCAGGGGGTTGGATTTAATGACTTCCTGGGGTCCCTTCCAACCCTTTTTCTATGATTCTATGAATAGCTGTTAAGTCCTTGTATGTTCAGTAAAGTTAGCAGTTCCTTTTGCAGTAGGAATATAAGAATCCCTTGATTGTTTTGGGACTGCCTAACTTTGCTGGTGTGGGAGGCGGGGACACGTGCCACTTTGGAGACAGGAACTATAGGAATTCTATTTCAAGTTTAAGATGAATTTATAAGTTTTGAAATAAATTTCTAGAGCTCATATGTCAACTTTATTTTGCTCATTATATTTTAATGTCTATTGTGGAAGACTTACCTCTGTCAGATGAGGAGAGGAGCCGGCGGGATGCTGCGCTGGAAGTGGAGCATGGTGAAAGTGAAACTGTGGCATTCCCGCCTGCTATGGCAAAGAAAGAAAAGGGAAAAAACCTGCCGAGTCGGAAGGAGCCAGGATTGGCTCCCACATCGGTGTGGGCATGCTTTATAACAGTGTGCCGGGGCTGATTCATGGCCTGGAACCCTGAAGCTGGGATAAAAGGCCCAGTAGGGAATCAGCGAGCAGGACTGGAAGTGAGGTCCTCAACCGGCCCGGAGGGGCCAGATACTGAAGGCAGTCCCAGCTCAGGGATGTGGTGGCTACCCCAGAAAGCTCTTGAAGAGTCAGAGCCAGAGATGGCTCCACAACTTACCGGAGGAGATTCCATGGACATCGGAGATCTACAGCACAGACTGGGTCTTGGCAGAACCAGATAGAGAAAAGATCAACAGACAACCGGCCCACGGCAGGTATAAAACTTGAATCGAGAGTGGGAAGCTGGGGAACACGATAGGCTGGGACCGACAAGACGCATAAATAAGGCAAAGTGCAGCAGGGAGTAACTAGGTCAAGTAACATCCCAATCCCACCATAATAAATCCAAAGGGCCAAGACACCAAAGCGTGCATAGTACTAACCCTGGTGGCCCAGGCAACACCATCTTTGGTTGGTGTTAGGTGGGGTATAGAGGAGGTGCAGCCCCAAGCAGGAAGGACAACCAGAACGACTGAAGGAAGGTACCAGGAGGGACGGGATAGACAATCTTCTTCCCCATCAAAATTAATTTTCCAGCAAGGACGTGGCAGGCGAGACCCCCCTGGTGTACCAACCAAGGTCCATTCCATTAACAAGCCTGTTCTTTCCTTAAAGCAACAGCGAAGTCAGAAAAATCCACACGGACTCAACACACAGGTGAAAGGCATGGGAAATTACACTATTAAGAAAGAAAATTCTCATATTTTTTTAAGCCTTCCTGAGGTTGGGGGCCTGGTACTACTGTACCCCATTCTTTGCCCCTCTCCCTCATAGACTCTGCACCTAGATGAAAACATGTACGTAGGATTAAACAAAGAGGCTGTAATTTAAACTCTCATCCCTCTGGATTGCAGTTGGGTTTGAATTTCTTATTGTTCTTACAGTGTGTGTTTCATTTTTTGGTTTGGGATCCAAAATGGGACAGGAGTTTTCTGCTTCTGAATTGGAGGTTTCCTATCCCAAGAACAGCAGTGACAGAAATGAATTTGAATCCTAAACCTGATTCAGTTTTAATCCCAAATTGCACCTTAAATCCTTGCTAGTTATGGATTTGAACACACCCTTGACCCAGACTTTCTGCATAAGGAATGATGTATGACCTTGGTACAAGTAATACAGTAGCAGAATGGTCCAAAATATCTTCTATGGAGATATTTTATGAATGGTCCAGCTATCTTCTCTGTGTTTCAGTTAGGTATGTGTGTACACCTGAAACTGCCTCAAGAAGTATGTAGGTTAACAGGTTCCATTAACTACCAAAGGGACTTTGAATATGATGGAATTAACTGTGAAACAAACAACAAACCATTATGATTTTATTAAGTAGTGGATACTCTAGAAAAAAATAGGTCCTTTGATATATATTGAAATATTTACTTGTAGAATGATACAATCAAGAGTTTTTCTATGATCAGCTTTGTATTGATGCTTTTGTGGGTTTTTTTTAACTAACTCTAGATCCAACTAAGTTTTAAGGCTCTGTTAGGGAGGCTTCTAGGAAAGCATCTGCTGGAAAAGATCATAGCTGGAGTAGCAGCTTGTTACAGAAAGAAATTGATGTCTTCGTAACAACATTGCCTGAAACATTCAAGGACTTAAAACTTGTTTGGCATTAGTCACAAAGAAAACGACTCCACCTCCTATAATGAAGGAGCCATAATAATTTGGAGACCTCCTCTTGTGTTCAGAGTAATGATGACGAGGCCTCTAATCCATAGTACATAAATACATCATGGTTAGTAGATCCTCCCCTACAATCTCATTGAGACTGACTAATAACTACCAGAATTCACAGAGAACACAAGACATACAAGACAAGATCCCCATATGGTACAAATAGCCCAGAACCATTGACTTCATTGGAGCTGCATAAGTCAATGCCAGCTGAGTATCTACTTCACAGCTTTTAGGGGTTTTCCTAATTGGCTAGCCCAGTATATATTTCAGACTGCTGGGGAAGCACACCCCTCTGAAGGAACTGAAATGCCCCGATGAAGTATGCCACATTCATTTTGTATCTGCCCTACTCTGCTAGTGAGGTGGGAGTAGGATGGGTCTATGGGCCTTTTGAGGTATCTAGTACTGCTGTCTCTATCTGACATGCCCAGTTCTTGCTCTGCAAGAACAGGGACTGAGAATGAGTCTTCTCCTTCAGCTTGTACCCTCTTTCTTCCTAGGGTACCCATGGAAAGGAGGTCTTTTAATTTAAGCAATTATTTGGTCAGGCAACGATAATGAGAGAGAATGGGGGAGCATTGTGTGGTTCTTTTCCTCCCCACGCTAGTCTCCATTTTCCTTTCTTGTTACCACCATCCTTTTTCTCCCTCTCATGCTTGCCTACCTGCCCTTTTTCCTCTCTCACACACATACCTCTACTCCAGCTCCCTACTACCTCTTTTTCCTGCCTACATTTCCTGTCTCTTTCCTGTCCCAGGACTCCTGCTGCTCTCACACTTCCTTCTTGCAACACTTTCTCCCTCCAACTGTCAAGCCCGAGAGTCATACAACCTTTTGGCCTCAACGTTCTGCCCAATCTGTACTACTAGAGTAACTGGAGGGAAGCAAAGACCGTACCTCCTTGTCTTCCTATTTTATTATCGTCCTTTGAAATAGCATGCCCACCACAAACTCATGGCCTCTAGAATAACTCCACCCGTTCCTGGTGCCAAATCATGTATGGTACAGATCAAGATTGTCTGAAGGCCCCAACAGGAGCTCAACATGTTCTAGAGTTTGTTGTGTGCTTAAATGCCTTTAAAATGCAACAAATCATGCAAAATAAAACCAGTGTAACCCTGCCCTTTCTTGGAAGGAATATCATTCATTTACTTTCTGAGAGTGTTTGGGCAAACGTGATTTAAGTTTGCATTTTAGTACACTGAGGGTCAGGTTGGAACCTAGAAACATATAAAAGTCACACTGAATTGAAACAGCTGTTTTGTTTGATTTAGGGCCAAAGCCAGACAAGTTCCCTTCAGTTCTGCACATCATATCTGAAATCCTTAAATAATGCTAGGGTCACTCAATGTGCAGCTAGGGTTTGAAGAGTTCATGGTATACCTGTCTGTAATTTCACTGTATTTTAGAATGGAGTAAAGCTTTTACAATGGGCCACATTTATCTCCAGCTTCAAGGGCTTCATATGAGAGATCAGACTGGCCTCCTTCAGTTTATGCATGGAGAAATGTTGGATGAGGCTGCACATCTGACTAAGTGGAACACTGTATTTGGAGAGAGGAGATACCTTATTTCTAGTGAAAGAGGGAAACTTTGAGGAGAACGCTGCTCACCTTTGATTACTAAGACTGGCCATAGTGACAACAACCAGAGGGAATACATTTGCCAGAGCTTCCAGCAGCTATGTTTTTCATCAGAGGAATTTGTTTTCTCATGTTAGTCAACAAGGTAGGATAAACACACCTGCAAGCTATAAACAGGTCAGAGAAGATTTTTATCTTCTAGTAGAAGCAATGAGACATGACATGACATGAACTTCTCCTAATTGTAAGATTGCACAGTGTTTATTTCAGGAGCTTGAGTGATTCCTCATTTTCCATGAACAAGAATGTTTCTATGGTTTAAACAAAAGCTGCCAGCTGGCCTGGCTGTAGCAGGAAAAGATAAAATCATGGGGTCTCCTGTCCTGTTGGATTCCCTTGATGTGTCTTCTGTGCAGGACTAATGAAACAATAATTCCTTTGTATGAGAACTGTCCCTTCCTTCAGCAGATTGTCCCAGCAAAATGTCTCCTAGAAGGTTTTAGAGTCCTACAGCTGTTAGTAGTGGTAGCTGCCATCTCACAAAGCCAAGCAGGGGGTTCTGCTGGAGTTGTATTTTTCTTTTATTAAAACATTGGTCCCTGTAACAAGCTGATCTGTGAGAAGACCAAAACCAAGCAACTGGATTTAAGGTTACTGATTTGGAATGGATCAGCTGACCCATCCGTTTTCTGAGGTTCCTCTGAGTGTTACCAAGCAAATGGACAACTTTCTAGTAAGGTAGGTATCAGAGATGACAAAGCCAGGGAGGAAATGACAACTGAATTCAGAACAAACCCATTCTGGAGATTAGAACTCAAAGAACAAAGGATATAAACCTTAAAGAAAAGCAAGCTGTATGTTTGGAAGTTTGCATACCAGAAGCTAGAACATATCCCTGCTGGACCAGAGAAATTTGAGATGCATTCATGGAATCAGAAAGATGGCAAGATAAGGCATTCTTAATGGTGTTGCTAATACGAAATACTAACCCATCATTACCTTGCACTAGAAAGTTACAATATTCAGCAAGATATTACTGGTTATACTGCTAGAGCTCAATATAAAAGATGACCGAGATTGGTTTAAATTCAAATGTCCAGGATGGTAACAGTTCGCTCTAATGACTGCTAGTGATATTTAGGGATTGTAATCTGATGGGTGCATAAGATAACCTAAATATTTAGCTCCCTTCCCCCCCATTCCTCCTGCTCTTTGGAAACCTTCGGTCTCAGTGGGCAGGTTGTTACTGTTCTCTGCAATGAATTTTCTGCCTCTAATAGAGTAAAATCAGAACCTTGGGTCTTTTATATTTTTTCAAAATGTGGCAGTAAATATTATGAATGTCAACCCATGATCCTGAGCTCTCTTCATTTGGGCAGACACCCATTGATTTCAGTGGCACCATCAGGATACTGGGCTCTACCTGTGTGCTGGTTGATGGATTAGGGCAAAATAATGTGCTTGCAAACTTGCAGTCAGGTAACTGCAGGAGTAAAACTCTGTTTTTCACATGGAGGAGTGGGTCTTGACTAAACAATGACATTGGGGGCAGGAGGTTAGAGGCTACTTTGGAAACTGTAATCCTTAATGTTTTCTGAAGGCTGCATTTCTCTCTTTTCAACTGTATTAAACCAGGGCCTCTGGGTCTGATCTAAAGACTGCTGATTTCACCAGCAGACTTTCTGTTGCCTTCAATGGGCCTCTGGCTTCAGGGCTGGGGTGGGTCAATAGCAGTTGCTTCCTCCCTCCCATCTGAGCTGCTAATGGATTTTGGTAACTATGTCTTGGACAAAAAAGAAAAGGTTTGGACAAATTAAGACTCCTGCTAATCTATGGAATGGTTCATACCAAAAGAAAATCCAGACCAGCTTTACACTCAGCTGAATTTGTGAACAGTTTGGAAGATGGCTAGGGTGGGAACTCCTCTTTGCTGAAGCTTCCTGCAGTATTTGTGCACTAGATGAGCACAATGCCTGCAATCATTCTTGACTCCTAGCGCCAAGGAGAAGCAGTTTCCTATTCTATGTCCTATTGTTGGGCACCTGCAGAACTGCAGAGACCCAAATGTCTACCTAGTAGCAAAACTAGAGGTGAGCGAGTGGGGCACTAGCCCTCGGCACTGATTTAGAGGGGGTACAAGACTGGCAGCTGCTGCCTCTTCCTAAGGTGTGAAAATTGACTGCGAGGAGAGTGAAAGTGTTGCTCTGTTTTAACCTCTCCTTTCTTTCATTCCCTGAAATAGAGAGCCCCAACCTGCTTGTTTTTTTTCCCCACCAGCTTGTGCTTGTGTGATTATTATGGGCATTTTGAGTCATCCCTGAGGACTTTGCCAAAAGTCTAAACTCTCAGGTTTTTAACAGGTTGCCTGAACACCCCCCCACCCTCCCTCAGTAGCATTCAATGAGACAGGAAACTCCCCTCAAATTGTATATGCAGAGAGAGACTGAAATCTGATAGCAAAACACACATAAATGACCCCCATCCCTCCCCATCACCACACCTCCCTATTAAGATTAGGTTTCATTTATGGAGGTAGGCATCCAACCAGAGATCTCCAGATTTCTTTAGGGACCTATGGAAAGAGAAGAGAGGCATCAGAGTGGTCTGGGAGTCAATAACCTCCAGTTACAGAAATGCTAACAGGAGATGCCTACTTCTGCATCAGGTTACTATTCCTCAGGAGGCCAAAAATTCTGTCCCTAGCTTGCATACATAAAGTAAGAAGATATATATCAGTCTGTCTTACCTTCTAGATATGTTAGATTGTTGAATTAAACTCTATTGGGCAGATCCTAAGCTAGAGTCTATCATATTACTTTGCTGATCTCACTGAAATTATACTGAGGTACACTCACTGAGTGCATCTACACATGTGCTTTACTGTGGAGTAGACTAATAAGCTCTGCAGTAAAGCATCACTGTCTATATGTGTGCCGCTATTAGGATGCAGTAAACTAATTTACTCGGGGAGGGTACTATTTTATGGCAGAGTAATTAACTGCACTGAAACGCACGTGTAGAGAGTGACTGGGTGGGGGCCAGGCTTCTGGCTGCCCCCTGGCCACACAGTTCTGCAAGTTCTGCACCCTTGTGCCCTGGCCAGTCCCTCCACTGCCTGATGCTGCCACCTGGAGCCTGGGACTGACCCCTGTGCCCCCTGCCAGCCTGGGTCTGCTCCATCCCAGCTCAAATTGCTGTTGTCTCTAGCACACATGTAGATGCTGTGCCCAGGAGCAGTTTACTTTGGCGGAAACAGCTCCAGAGTTTATTGCTTCGCTTTAATTTCACATGTAGATGCACCCACTGAGGATGTGACCTAAAAGAAAACAAAAATCATCTGCACAAAGAACAACTGGCAACTAACCAGAATTCATACTAAAAGAATTTCCCTTTCCCTTTCCCCCCCCTGTTGTTCTCCTTCATGGGTTCCAGCCACCATCAGCACTCCTAAAACAATTAATTATGTACCTTGCAAGAGAACTGAGCTATGTTGGATCAAAACTTCCTAGTCACAAGACAATCCTTGGGCTTGGGAATACTCTGCATGGTTTATAATCAACATTATGCAAGTGTGGGGGACTTCTCACGTATGAGGTTTTTACTCTCTCAAACAGGGGCCACACAGATGCTTCCCCATGGAGTATGTGACATAGTTGCTACCGTGTTCAGCTGGCTGAAATGGCTGTGATACTCTTGCCAGCAATGAATAGCCCTGTATTCCATAGGGGCTCTTACTGTCTTACTGGAATGAGGTGGGGAAAATATCTTTGAATTTAGATCTATATTCACCTATCTTGAGGTTGGCAAAGAAAGGGCTATATACTCTTCCTTTTCTTGATAGCAGGAAGGTTTTATTATTTAGATGTGATTGGGATATAGCTCGACATGCTTCGCAGCAGGAGCTCCTATATTAAAGGTCAAATAAATTCAGTGCTTGGTTCATTTGAGGGAACTTGTGTGTGTTGCAGCCACATGAATTGAAAAATGCCATGCTGACAAATGCCAGGTAGGTGACCCATGCACATCAGAGTAGCACTCAATGTACCTGAGGACAAGAGGGCAGGAGCAGAGATGGTTTTCTGCCCCATTTGAGATGGATCATCATCTTGCCTATTCATCTTAATTTCTGCCCATTCTCCCACCTAAGACGATATTCCCTATGTCTCAGAACTATCAGATGAACAGGGAGATGCTGTAGGCAATGACACAGTTGCTTCTCAAGTTTAAATAGGCAACTACCAGTATAGCATGCTGGGAAAAGCATCATAAACCTAATAATCACCAAGCAAGCAACAAACCCCTGGCTATGCAATGCTTTGCTGACCAGGATGGAAGGCACTCTGTGTGTTACAGAATTGTGCCTGCTTCTGTTTTGGGGATTGCTATGTCTCTTGCCTTCCTATGATGGTGTGATCTAGGTTCCCCATTGATCTAAACTGTCTTCACCCCATCAGAGGCAGTGGCATCATATCACGTCTACAATAAATCAGTATTTCTAAAATGGCAGTCCAGATGCTTTTTCATGTGGGGCAACAAAACTGTCATTGCACTAATGTTTTAAGCTCTGATGCCATTTCTTAAGGTGCAGGGGTCAATAAAGCCAGAGCTCTGTATATTAGGGGGAAAAAAAGAGGTTACCAGAATGCTGGCATTGGCTCTGCAGCCTCCAGATAGTAATGAAAGCCCCTTACCCAACTATGTCTATGAAAGCTCTTCCAAGAGTCTTCTCTTCATAGTGGATTCCATGCTTGGCGCACAATGATTTCACCAGCGGTTTAATCTTCCAAAAGTTGTGACGTGGCATTGTTGGAAACAGGCTTGAATAAAGAAATACAGAGAGCCTGAGAAAAGCCTAGCAACAGTGCTCAGGGGACATGCATTTCTTTCTGCCTCCTCCTACAGGTAATTATTTCTCCTTCTCCCTACACAATATAGGCAGATAGAACAAAGTGAGTGGAATGCAAGCTTTGAAGTACTCTCTTTTAAGGATGCTCTCGAAAACAAGTACAATCATTCCCATTCCGGCTGTGTCATGCACCAAAACAAAAACATCTTTAGAAAGAGAATGAATGATTAGCTTGACAAACAGAAGGAGATGCTGTCACCAATACAGATGGCGTGTTAGTGTAGTAGGCAGTAAGGAAACATTGCTTGGCCTACTGAGGTGGCTGCCATTCCCTTTGGACAACAGCTAATTGTCTGTTGCTGAAGTGAATTGTCAGTGACTTCCTTTCATGTGCCTAGATGCTCGCAAAGCAGAGAAACAAATAAAGAATTTGTGGTCACATTACCCTATGCTGCTCAGTTGGGATTTGTTTTATTTCCTAAGACAGCTTCCAGGCCTTTCAGGCCTGCCTTCACATGATCTCTGCTTTAAAATTCACATTCTCCTGAGTAACAAGTCTGAAGAGTGGATCTAAATCTGTCAATATCTTTGAACACTAGTATTCCTCCACTAGGTATAGGAGGGGCAGAGAGTGGGGGGCGCTGCTCTATAAATTGAAGACTATTCTTGGCTGGTAGAAGACAGAAAGACTTGATATAAAATAGATAGAAATGCTCAATTCTGAGATGATTTAGTGGCCATTTTAATCCACAGGAGCCTTTCCATTGACTCTGATCAGTGTCAAATTAAACTTTAAGGTCATGAGGGTGAAAAGTTAAGTTGCTTGTGGTGATAGGTGAAAAATATTTGTGCTAACTGTGAAAAGAGATTAACTCCAGTTGATTTTCTGATCTTATAATATTCATTGGTACACATTCATGTCCCTTCTTCTCCCCAGCTACCATTTGCCCTCTTTGATCCTACCCCTGCCCAGACTGCCCAGGTTGTGACCTTCTTGTGTCCATAAGATCCCTTGCTGTCATGCCAGACTCATACTCACTGGTGCTCAATTTGGAAGTTCAGGTGTCCGGTGAACCAGTCATTGAAAAAGGACTGCTCAATATTGCACGTGGCAGCCAACTGCAAAAACAAGAAGATAATCATAAATGCCAGTGAAGCCTGAAAACACTTGATGCCACTGGGCCCTTCCTGCATGTGACAGACACCAAAGCAGAGGCGTAACAGTGCAGCCGGGTGCCTAGAACAGCAGACTTCTGGCTGCTGCTGTACCACTGGCGTGATGAGGTAGCCTGAGAGATGCTTCATATCAAACACGGAGATGTGCCTCAATGCACCAGCAACCTGTAAGGCAAAACATTCGCTCAGAAGCTTTAGCTCTAGATAGGTTCCCTATATTCCTCTAAGCCAGTGTTAAACAAAATATGGTCCAGTAGCAGGGACCCCTAGCCCCTCTTCCTTGAGAGGTAGGGAGCCAACACCAAAGGGCTACAGTTATGTAGGCAGCTGGGCAAGGAGCAGTTGCAGAGCAACATGCAGCCAGGAGAACCTACAAGGGGTTAAAGGGCAGTACAAAGTTGCAGCCTAGTAGCTAAGTTGCAGCACCTGGTATCAGGTTGAGTATGGGGCCATGTGGTCTGAAGGGGCAGAGCTCGAGCCTACTAAAAGCGTGGATCTCTAAACCAGAGGGCTTAGTCTGGCCCTATTGCCTTCTGTGAGCAGAATTTCTGCTGGCCTGAAATGTAACAAAGGGGAATCCAACTAACCAGGTACCTTAAGACTTGCAAAGAGCCAGCAGCCAAAGGGTAGGATGTGACTTGGGCTCAGGGGGGGCCAAATGCACAGATGCTTACTGCACAGTAAATTGGTCTACCCCATGGTTAATTTGCTACCTGCAAATGCAGGTAGTAAATTAACTGTGGAGTAGTTACTGTTCAGTAATGCATGTGTAGATGGCTGACCAGGAGATCACTCCCTGCCCCCAGGAGCTGCCTGCTGCCAGGATGGGCTCCAAGCTCAGAGTCTGGCCAGGACAATGTCCCCCGCCCTGGCAGCAGACAGCTCCCAGACTGGGCTTTGCAATCAGAGCAAGGGCTGGGAGACTGCTCCCTGATCCTGGGAGCTGCCTGCTGCTGGGGTGGGTGCTCCAAGCTCAGAGCCCACCCCAGCAGCAGGCAGCTCCCAGGATCAGGGAGCAGTCTCCCAGCCCCTGCTCTGCAATCAGAGCAGGGGCTGGGACCTCCCTGCATGTGCAGATTTCCCCCCACAGCCTGACAGTTTCCGGCCAGCCCCAGGCTACATGGGGAAGTCTGCACATGCAGCCTGGAGCTGGCTGGGAATTGTCCTGTTGTGGGGCAGGTTCCAGCCAGCTCCAGGCTGCACATGCAGACTTCCCCACACAGCCCAGGGCTAGGTTCCAGCCCTGCAGCTCTCTCGGCCCTGTGCTCTGATCAGGCAAGTGAGGCATGGGGCTTGGAAAGAGCTGTGGGGGAGGGGCAGGTCCCAGCTCCCTGTCCTGACCCAGCTGGGGGGCTTGCTGCTAGCTGCTCCACTGGTGGGACAGCTCCTGGCCACCCCTGGCTGAACAGGGACTCCCCCTCAGCTGGGGCTCACTGCTAGCTGCCCCACCTTCAGATCAGGGCATAGGGCTGGGACCTGCCCCTCCCTTGTAGCTCTTTTCCAGCCCCATGTCCTGATCAGGGCATGGGGCTGGGAAGTAGCTGCAGGAGGCAAGCACAGCCAGGCCAGCCCCAGGGAATCCCCGCTGGGCACAAAGCTTGCCCCCATATGCACGGGGTGAGACAGCTCTGCAGCAACTCTCCTGCCCCACCCACATCGTGACCCCTTCTAATGTGTACAGTGCCAGGGATGTCTCTTGGCCCTGTGCTCCCTGTCAGCCCCTGGGCTAGTACCCACAGAGAGCCTGGAGCTCCCCCAGGCTGCTGCAGGGGGGTAGAGCAGGGTAGGAGCAAATCTGCTCCCAACAGGGAGCACATGTAGACGTGCTCCCCAGTAGGCTTACTGCGCAGTATTTTTATCGTGCAGTAAGCCTACTTCAAATTAATTGCTCATGTAGACATGCCGAGGGAGACCCAGAAGGGGTTTATCAGTAGCTGGCATGGAACTGGAGGATCAAATGTAGCTGACAGGGGTGGATAGGAGGCCACAAGGGTGTCTGAGGGGCACCCAGCATATTGCTCTTAGAGAGTCTAGGACCCGATGTGCTGCATGGGACTGAAGCCCAGTTTAGAGGCTGAAGAAGGCAGCTCTGCAGAGTCAGGGGCTCAGGAGGCTGTGCCCAGTTAAAAGGCCAGAGGCTCTCAAGAAGTAAGCATAGCCTTGCTGGGACCAGGGGGACCATGGGCCTGGGATACATTGTGGGCAGCCTTGCCAGGGCCAGGGGTGCTAGGGGGCTGGCCAATGTGAGATAGGGCCAGGGACCTGGAAAATAAGACAGGCCCTGGGGTGGGAAGTAAAGCCAAGGGGCTGACACCAAGGAAGCCAGGCCAGGACTAGAGTAACACCTATAAGGTATGGGCATGGGTGTGGCTGTAGGAGAGGATGGAGGCCACAATTTTAGTCTTCAGGTAATTGGGGCTCAGGGGCTGGATCCCTATGTAGACAGCCAGTATCCTGAGGGGTCAGAGCCCTACAATGAGAGCCAATATGGATTGGGTTGGAGTCCCAAGGCCAAAAGACTGGGCAGTTGGGCTGGAGCTCTGAACCAACTAGGCCAAGTCAAGCCCAAATAGGGACAGAATACAGAGAGAGCACCCAGAGCTCACCAGCCTTTGAGGGCAGCCTCCCTTCTGTATTAACACCACCAAGGCATGACAAAGGCAAGGCAGCAGGGTGAGACCTTGAGGGGCTGGAGTGAAAGTGGGGCAAGACTAAGGTGGCCATCAAGGAGCATCACAGCCACCCTTAGGCCTTATCCTGCCACAGGCTCATGGGCCAGATTTGGCTTGCAGGGTTTCCTGCAGCTCTGGAAATTTATCGGCATGGTGAATGGTGGCAGCACTAATTGTTGCAACTCCTGGAACTGTGACAATTAATACTATTCATACTCATCTTGCCACTAAGTTTCTGGATCTGTGGGGAGCCCTGCAGGCCAGACTTGGTGTGTGGCAGGCAGTGTTGTGATCTTGCAGAATAACAGGGCTGACCTGAAATTATTCTCACTGTTTTAGGTGTTGACCTGATCTCCTTTTAATTATTGTAACAGTAACCTCCTTATTTTTAACAGGAGGAAGTTCCTAGAAATGTCTATCATTTCCAAGCCAGAGGCTTGGAGGAGAGGAGAAAGGGTACTAAAAACCACACTATGAGCTCCCCTGCTTCTTTGGGAGTAAATAGTTGCATTGCCTTTGGCTAGCTCCACAGGTCCAAGTTGCAAGTTGTAAAACCTGTGGCTTTGGCACGAAAACTGATCAACAATTCTCTGTTCTGTTTCAGAGCAGGGACTGCACAAATTAGACAGCAGACTCATGATTTGCTTAACAGGATACAGCCTTTAGCTATGGCCTATGCTCTCTGCCTTGAGAGTAAGTGGAGGAAAAAAAATTAAATTGCACGTCTAGCCAACTGTGTAATACTGAGAAAGTAGAGTGGAGAGTTGGGAGGAAAATGCAGGGGTATAAGAAAGTTCCCTTCCTACTCCTACAAAAGGTTTTCACCTGATGCCCCTGAAGCACAAAGTTTGAATACTAAAGTATTTTTTCCTAAGCTTCTGTTACCAATAATTATAAAACGTATATATCCTATCTTAAAAGTTTTATGCACTTTGTTTTGCTAAGCCATTGAAATCAATTCTACATGGTGACTACACAAGAAGTGCATTTCCAAACCATGCACTTAATTTCTAAGCTCATGAAGAATCCTACAGACCTCAAGAAGTTTTACTCGCATGCTTCAGGATAACAAAATACTTAAATGCACCATTGGATCTGGGCCCAAGTGAGTAGGAAATCTTGCCAACCTTTGGAAGCTATACCTTCAGGAAGACTACCTCAGTAGATATTGTTATTTGATTTAGGGGAGAGGTACAGTTTTTACTGATATCACCTCTAACCCAGTGTGAGGTACCTTGAACCAACTGAGACCTGAATTTAGTTCAGAACACTATGGGTAAGATGTTGTATCCTCTCATCTGGAAGTTTACTTAAAGCTGTGGAAGGCATTTTAGAAATACTGCTGCTTCTATCACTGGTTTTCCTATAATGTGTTCAGACTTCATTTTTTTTCCTTTAAACTCTTCGTGAGGAATTAACTGGTTTGGTGTGCCCGCAGCCGATGTCCAGGAAGCTGCACTGACTTATATCATCTGAAGATCTAGCTCATTGACTTCCATGGAATTATTTCTGATTTACATGCATGTGTTCCCAATGGGCAGATCTAAGGTTTTGAAAAGGGGGGTGCAGATGATGCAACTAGAGATGCAGGGACCCACTCCCAAAGCGGACAGATCGTTCCACAGTAGCGTCTGCCAGGGACTTTCTTGAGTCCCTGAAGCTGATGTATCTCTCCCATGTATGCACCACTGTCCTCAGCTGACCCGGGAGAAGGAAGCCCCAGAGCCACTCCTGTCACTGCAGCACCTGTTTGGAGCACCCCACCTGCATGGGGTGTCAGGCTTAGCCAGAGACACCAGTGGTGATGGGTGGGTCACCCCTTCTTTACCTGCCTTCTGCTTGATCCCTCTGGGTATTAGGCCTATGCAAAGCAGCAAGTATTCAATTCTGATTCGGTCGATTCAGAGGGGATAGTGATTCAATTTGGTGATTCAAGTCACTGTCCCGATTTGATTTGGCCGCATCGGATTCAGAGATTTGGCGCTGATACGGAGATTCAGCCATAGATTATAACGGGGAATCACTAAAATACCTATAAGTGCCAATTTTACTGATTAGGTTTGCTGAGGGGTTTCTGTGAAAGTGCCCCTCAAACTGTTGAAAGCAAAACTTGTGTATCACTTGTGTGTGTTAAGAGGTGTAAGTTTTAGCCGTGTTGGTCTAAGAACATAGGCAGACAAGGTTCTTTGGGTCAATCTGATATCTCTTATTAGATCAACTGAATAGTTAGAGAAATATATCTTAGCAAGCTTCCGGATTTAAAAACCCTTACTCAAGCTGAGGAAGCATCTGCAGTTGGTGTGTGTTCTCTTCCTGGATGGAAGGAACAGTAAAGACGCCAGATGCTGGGCTGCAGGTAAGAAAGGCAGTCAGTGAAAATGTAAATTGAGGTGTCGGGGGATAAGAAACAGGTGGGGTGGAAGGGGGTGTAGCAGTTAAATAGTGGAGAGGTACCTGGGGAGTCCGATGTCAGGCAGGTTATAGTGTGTCATAAAGCCAACGTCTATATTTAGTAAATGATTTTTTTTATATCCAGTAGATTTATGAAGTGAAGTTTATAGGTTTGTCTGTGAAAAGTGTTTCATAAATTCAAACAAGCACTGAACCTCGCTAACCTCATCACCAGAAGCAAACTTCCAATAGCCCAAAACACACCGAATGGATTCAGACCATGCCATGACAAGAAATGCAGAACCTGTCAACATACCTCTAGTACCCCCACAATTACTATATTCCACAACAGAACCATCACCATTCCTGAATCTTACAAATACACTTCCAGGAACGTTATATACCTCATCACCAAATGCCCTGATGGAAAATGTGTAGGAGAGACCAAACAACAACTGCGCACCAGAATGAATGCACAATGAAAATTTATTAAAGACAAGAACACTCAATTACCAGTGGGGACACATTTCTCAAAAGAAAACCACTCTCTCTCCAATCTCTCAGTTGTGATCCTCAAAGGAAATCTATAAAACACCTTTTGTAGACAAGCCTACAAACTTAACTTCATAAATCTACTGAATATAAAAAATCATGGACTCAATATAGACATTGGATTTATAACACACTATAACCTGCCTGACATCCGACTCCCCAGGTACCTCTCCACTTTTACCTGCTGCATCCCTCTCCCCCACTGCCCAGCTATTCTCTAAGTAGCAAATTTAATTTCTCACCTATTTTTAGGGTGAACAGAGTTGGGAACATTAGTACCATAGCCATTACCTGAGAGCTGAGCCAATCTCTGTGCTTCTCATTGTCAATTTCCATTGGAATATGGTTCATCTGTGTTACCCACACAAACCAGTGACTTTCCAGAAACCTTCAAAAGGAAGAACAACAGCTGACATCCCAGATCAAAACACAGTCCATACAAATTGCCATGGCGGTGCAGAGTAGCCTAGGTAAAGCTAACAACAGAGGAGATAAAGGGAATGGAATATAGATTGTAGTCCTGTTATATACAGAGGAGGCATAAGATATCACAGAAGTATTTCTTCAAGGGAATGGTGAAATCTCCGATTCTGAAGAATGGAAAGAATCAGTTCTGCATTAGGTTTGTTCTCTCTTTTGGCGTTCCCTCTAAGGGCTTAAAGCACTTGGGATACTGCACCATGTTAATCCTTAGCACTCTCTCCTTCCTAGGTGGATTGCTTTTTCATGCTGCTCTCTGCCTTTCATCTCAATTCACCTCTTTGCATGTCAGACAGTAAGAATGAACCTGGAAACACACTTTGAACTCACATTGATCCCAGAGATTGTGTTCTCTCAACCCCTACCACTCCATGCCCTCAGTTACTGATCGTTTTCTGGTTTCAGCCTCAGTAGAGGCCAAAAATGGAACAAGCCCTAGGAGCCAAAATGCCTAGGCAAATCTTCTTCAGTTTGGGACCAAATAGAGACCCTGCCTGGGTAGTTATATTGCTTATACCCTTGTTTAGCACTTTTTCTTTAAAAACGTAGATGAATTCAGTCTACATGGTTTTCTGCCTTTTCCCAGAAGTAACTTCAAAAATAAGCCAGAAAGAGCAAGGTGAAGAAGGATCTAGTAACTGTTCTCAGGTCTTTTCAATGGCCTTGGTGGTTGCTGTACACCCCATGTGCACTGTGTAGTATTTTAACCTGGCAGCTAAAGGATTAAGGTCTGACTTCTGCAATGTGACGCACAGCTTAATTAGAACAATCTGAGCTTGTGATTCCCTGCACTGCCTAGATGTGCCTGGGGTCAAACTAAAGGTAGAGACTTGCATTTATATTCTAATAATAATGATGTCTCTGTACAGCTTGTATCTTCTCTGAGCAATGAGGGCACCTATACATGTGCATCAAGGCTGCTCCGATGCACTGTAATTACAACACATTGGAGTGGACTCAATTAACTGAGTCTGCTAGAGCGTGGTAATTACCACAGTCCAGCAACTCCAGTGTCACATGCATCAACATCCCCGCACTGAAAAATGGTGGCAGGGGTGCTTTAACTAAAGCTTGTTTGAGCTTTAGTTAGAGCACCCCACTGCCATTTTTTTGGCATGGGGCCACTGATGCATGTGATGCTTTGGGCACTTTAATTAGATCTGCTCTCAGAGCTGCTCTAATTAGTGCCCTCCCCACCCCCTCACCTCCTGGAGCATGTGTATAAATGCCCTGAGAGACCAGCAAGTGAGAGTTTTCATAACTGATTAAAATGCCGGGCTTCTCTATAAAACTCCTTGGACTCTTTCCTTATTATCTCAAATTTAAGTCAACTATTGTTGCTACGGAAATGCTGCTTTGTGATTCTTCACTAAGAACAGGAAGCAATATTACTGGGAGGAAACCTGATCCTATATCCAACCGAAACAAGGACATCCAGCAACAATAGCTCAGCTGTTATAGGATTTCCAACTTGACTGAAGAAGGAATTGGCTTGCTAAACTTTTAATCACATGAACATTTACCATGATTTGATTAATCAATTTAATGACAACTTTTGAGGGTCATATTTCTCTAAGGACCTGATCCAACATCAGTTGAAATAAGGAAGTCCTAAATCATGGCCAGAGTAATTAAAATAACATGGAGATAGAATTCAGATCCCATAATTTAACGAACCTTTATATAGTTTTTCCTTTTTTTGGGTAGAAGAATCATCTTTAAATTAATGTCTTCCTTTTTTAAGGATCTGAGCAGTAGAATTGAATGTACACCTGCTTGCACCCTGGGCATGACTTAGCAGGGTCACAGAAAGTACTTCTAGGATAGATACATGAATTAAATTATGTGCTACAGTTTGGAACATCAGTCAATCATAGTGTAACCTTTTGAGTGTTTGGTATAAGCCCTGTTCTGTGCCTCATCCACTTAAGATGTGATTGGTTGCAATCTGTCACTCCAGAGCTGGAGCATTTTAAGTCCAGCTGTAGCAGTTTGTGCTTTTAGCTCAGGTCCTAAGTTGAATTCTTGGTGTAATCAGCTAAGAGGTAGTCATCACAATGGCACCATTTCTATAACGGGAATATAGAAGTAATGATCCTTGAGAGTGTGGACTAGGGGCCACCCAGCAATGCACATTGCCATGCTGTGTGATCAGACTGTAAGTTGGTGTATGACTTCTCTCTGACAGGAACTGGAAGTACAGTGAAGATGGTTTTCCCCACTCAGAAAAAGGGAACACCCTCCATTGTTCCTAAGCTACTCTCCAGCTGATCTGGGAAGAAGTTGCAGTGAAGGGCTGGATGACATGGAGCCACTGGGGCAACTTCACGTGTGTGTGGGAAGGAGGATGGAGAGGTGTGCAGAAGGGAGGTGAAGATGGAGAGTCTCATCTGCCTTCACCATCATTAGGGACTTCTTAATGAGAAGGCAGACACTGAAACCCAGTAACAGACCAATTGGTGTAGGGGTGAGCTTGAAGAGAAAATAAAATGGAGGTTAAGGGGGAGATTGAGACAGGGGAAGCTAATGAAGGTAGTGATAGGAAGCAGCAGAGACTGGAAGGGATGAAGAGAGAATCTGGATAGTGTGATGTAGAGCAGAATGAGTTTAGCTTGGCACTGCTTATCCCCCTAGGATGGTTTATGGTGCCCATGGTGAAGGGAGGGGAGAGCAGTGGGGAGGCCCTTTATCTCTCCTACCTGACAAAGGTGAGGAGAAACAGGGACCCCAGAACTCCATAGAAAGGGATGAATGTGATGAAGTAGCGTATGTAATAACTGAAGGCCCAGATCAGGTCCTAGGGAGAGAAAGAAGAGATTATGTATTACAGGCAATGTACGGTCTTCCACCTCCCTCTTTAAACCAGCTGTCCTTGCAATAAGGACATAATCCTCTTCTCTCCCTCCTCAAAGAAGGTTCTTTTGGGTATCAGTTGGGCCTTTTCTTCCCCACCCTCCAGATGAGATGGGGCTCGATGCACAGGACAGAGATGTTCTTTCACTCACCGCCCAGAACTTGTGTCTGATCATGCTCATCATGATTTGCATTTGGAAGTACACGGGGATGAGGAGAGGTGGGAAAACTGAAAAGCAAATGCAAGGTATCAGCCATCAGGAGGCAACTGACTGTAACATGAGATAAATGGACACCCTGGGAGATGGAATTATGGACAGCTGCCTGCAAAGAATAACTGGGGGAGGAGGGGGTGAGACCTGTTAATAGGGAACCCACAGCTCTTTCCTACTGCTTCTCTATGTCCTTATTACCTTCAGGTTCTCAAGCAATTAGACCTTAGGCTATGTGTTCAGAAGCCCAGTGCTTCTGCTGACAGGTCTTTATGCTGAGGGCTGTCACTGACTCTCAACCATTTGCCTTACTTTATTTAGCCACTTAGTATCAGTAATGATGTGATGAAGAAAGCAGGGCACCTGACACACAGCAGGTAAAGTGTGAAAGTGATTACAAGCTCTAAAAATGGATTAATAAAAAGGTGAAAAATTGTTCTCCCAAAGCAGGAGGGAGTGGAACAGTAAAGGGGCATTTTCTACCCTGTGAGCACTTTGGGAAATGAAAGGCACAGTGCAGATACTCACCCAGGAAGAAGTACTCATGCTGATGGTTGTAAGGCAGGTACTTCAGCTTCTTCTTGCCATACTAGAAGGGGAAAGTAGATGTCAAAGATCTGGCTCAGCTTGTTACACTCATAGATAAGGAGGAACCTACTGAGGATAACTCTTTAAGTTTAAATATCTCTAGTCAGAGCTGGAGACTTGTGGCCTAATCTGGTCCTCCTGAAGTCAAGGAGTGTTTTGCTATCACTTTAAATGGGAGTGGGATCAAATGCTCACAAAGCTGTTTCAGTTTCCTGCTGTATCTAGACTAGGGTACTTGAAAAATAGGTTAGCCAATCACAGTCAGTCCTACTGGAGGGGTGTGGGTTGATCTTGTCTTGACAACTTGTTTTGGCACGACTTCCTAGTGAACGCTGCATGGAAATCCCCTTTGGATTCTTCTATTCTCTTCCTAAATAGAGACGATTAAACATACTAATCAACATGTGTTTGCAGACTATTTCTTGTCTTCCTATTTTGGGCCCAGTACAGGAGCTGAGGAATGCTTCTTGTTGGTGGGAGCAAAAGAGATAGAAATGTGGTAGGACTTGTTCTTTTTTCTACCATGGACCCTGTTTGATTTAAGAAAAATTATCAAGGACAGGTAATCAGTGAGAAAAGAATATTATTTCCAAGTTTCCGTACATAAGCCCAATGGCATTCACCTTTGTGAAACACTGTCATGTGTAACAGGGTGACTGGACCTTTTGATTAAAGCAAATCCTGTTCACTTGTGATAGAATAGGTGCATCTTAGTTGCACCTGATTAGTAGGAAGAGGTGACACCTGGAGCTAATAAAGGGAGAAAGAGGAAGCAGGAGTTCCTTCGACTGTGTGGTCTTGGGATCTCTTGCGAGGTCCTTAAACAAGGCTAAGGACTAGGATGGTAGCAGAAGGGCTTGGATACTAATCTTCAGTCAGTCATTCAGCCAGACAGGACTGGAGAAGACTGTGGGTACAAAAAGTAGCAAAACAGTAGAAATGGGAAAGTGGTAGTCAGCGGTGCCTGTACACATGCTGGGAGGCTGCTACGATGTGTGATGACCATGACGCATCAGAACAGACTAGATTAATCGAGTCTGCTGGAGTGTGCTAATTAGTGTGCTTGTGTATCAGCGTGCCCGTGCTTCAAAATGGTGGTGGGGGTGGTTTAATTAAAGCTTATTCAATGAGCTTTAGTTAAAGTACCCCTGCTGCCATTTTGAAGTGTGGGGACATTGACACACGAGACACTGTGGGCTCCTTAATTAGAGCGGCTCTCGGAGTCACTCTAATTAAAGCCCACCCCCGAACACATGTAAAAACATTGCAGATGGCTAGAGAGGACAGTAGAACAGACACAGCAGATGGTCATTCCCACGTACTTCTCCGAGATGGAGGGCTGCGGGGAGAAAGCTAAGGAATGAAGGAGGCAGAGGGGCTCGCTGTCCTGTCCAGAATAACTGTAATGAGATGTCAAACATTGGGCTGCTAACACTAAGGTGTTGGGTCATAGATTTGGTTATAGAAAGAATATACTCAAGGTGATTCTTTTTTTTGATGAAGCGTAAATAAAAACAGGGTGAGGTTTGGCAGGGCCACTGTGGCCGATGCCCTAGGAAAAAGGCTGTGGAAAGAAACAAAGATGAGAGCAGATTCTGATTGCTAATTATCTTTTTGTGCAAAATTTTAAAAGAAGGTTACATTTTCTGCAACATATATATTTTTTTTGAAGAAGACCAGAGCCCAACTTTTACTGAAAATTGAATATTCTTATCTGAAATATTTGGATTTTGGTTCCCAGTTCTCATTAAAGAACTGGAAAACTTTGACCCCAACAAAAAGTAATAATCCAGTTAAAAAGGTTTTCTCATTTTGCTTGAAACATTATTTTATTTCTCATTGACTAAAATATTTTGACAAAATTTTAACCAGCTCTAAGGAAAAAAAAAACATACTCTCAGGGGAAAAAAAAATGCTTTGTGGCTAAGATACTGGATCAGGATGTGCATCAGGAGATCTGGATTAACTGTCAATGCTGCACAGATTTCTTGTGCGACCTGGTGATTGAGTCATTTCATTCCGCAGTGTTCCTCATCTACAAAGTGAGTATAATAAGCTTTCTTTTTCTTTTCTCCCATTGGCTGCCTTACTCGTCTATTTAGATTGGATAGGTTGGAGAGTGGGGACAGTCACCCTTTATAGACACCGGTACACGTTTATGCTGCAGCACTGGATGCTTTTAAAAGGGGTGCCAGGTGCCACAGCACAGTATGCATCAGTTCGCATGCAGAGCAGACTCGACTAATCGAGTCTGCTCCAACGCACCGGATCTCCAGCGCATCTCCGCATGAAAATGTATGTGTATAAATGCTCTGTGTCTTGTGTAGAGCCTTTCTCAACAAAGTCCTGAACTCAGCTGAGGCCTGTGATGATCTCATCTTAATAATAAGAAACCAGTTGCATAGATACTTTTGATTCCATTAAATCTATATAATGGCATTGTGGATTTACATTGTGCGGGCTACTCTGAACGGACACGGCCTATGGCCAATCTTAGCATGCACAAAGAGGGAGTGTGTGTGAGGTAGCTTACTCCTGAAGTAAGCTATCTCTTCTAAGGGTGTCCTCATGGGGAGTTAGTGCAGAGTAGCCTAAGCACTGTAAATTTACGTGTTTGCTTACTGCACTGTAGCTTCCCTGTGTAAACAAGCCCTTCGCCTCCCTGCAGCATTTGTAACTCAGGCAAGCTGTGCAAAGTAATAGCCTGTAATACTGTGTGCAGTAGCACTGATGCAAGTTTTATTATGGTTTTGTAACGTGTTACATTACAGGTCTGCAACAGGGGGTTGGACTATCTGACCTCCTGAGGTCCCTTCCAACCCGATTCATTTATGATTTTGCTGTTACTAATAAGCAATATCCATATGGTTATGGCAGTAAAGTTAAACTACCAGAACTGTAAAGATAGTGGCAGAAGAATAGCAGGTACACATGACTGATAAAATCAGGTCACAGACAGTCTGGTAGTCTCCACCATGCAAAATAAATCTACAATGTCCATCTTGTATCCAGCAGACTGCTGCTGCTGTTAGTGGCAGTGGGGAGGCCAAGGCGTGATTAGACCAGGTTGAGAAGTGATCCCTCATAGTAAGGGCTATGCTCAGAGCTGAGAACCTGCCACAGTGGCTGTCTTTCATATGGAAGAGGAGAGTATCCTGCACCAGCAACCTAATACTACCAATTGTGAGAAGTCCTTTGCTTGGTGTCTCCACCCAGTTTTCTTGTTTTAAAATCTCTGATTCTAAGGTGCCATTCCTGTTATCATTTTTTTTTTTTTTTTTGTCCCAAGTAATCTCTTGATTTCTGGGGCCTGTGATTTATGCCCCCCTCACCTCCCCACATAGATTTAGCTTCTGTTGGGGCTCTGTCCACCTTCACTGTACATCACGAGGGCTCATATTTGTCACCAGTTTTCTGGGGTTCTCTCCTGTGTTCCCCCCACTAGTACTCTTCTTTTACATGTTTATCCCCAAATTTCTCCTGTCTCCTTGTACAATTTTTATTGACTCCCACCCCCAACTATTTTGCCCCTTTCCCTCTCACTGAGTGAGGTCTTCTGGGGTTTGTTCATGTCCTTGAGTTTGATCCAACAGATCAGCACCCTTTGTCACTTGTAAATTCCTACATCTTATGCAGCACCAATGACTTCATAGATTGCAGTTTTATTTGGAGGAAATTAAGCAAGATCTGAGCTCCACAGGGCTGCATATTTGTCTCCATCAGAGAAAGGTCTGAACACACAAGAGCATCCGAATACAATTATGGTTTACATACTTCTAACATACATCTTCTGAGAGCAAGAGTTTCTCCATTGCCATAAACATCCATATTTTGTTATTTCATGGCAATGGGACTATGACCCTTGTGCAAAATTCACTCAGCAGGAGCCAGATTTTCACAAAATAAATTGGCATACTTCATTGACTTCACTATGGTGATGCCCCCAGTATGAAACCTCCTCTGGGTCTGAAGTGATGGATTTAATTGCAGTACCTTAATATACCCTGTAACTAAGTGTGCAGTGTGGCTCACAGTAGCTGTGGGAGCCATGACCAAGAAACTCAGTTGCAGTGAATAACTGTAGCTTCAGTGATTTACACAGTTGAGGACTTGGACCATTGTCTTTGAATAAACTGGTTTTCCTTGTTTCTCAAGGAGGCATCCTGTTTCTGAATTGCTTCTGTTTTTGCTTACTCAAGGGCGGGGGCAAGTCACTTGCTGCTAGCCTATGCTGGCAGAATACCATTCCACCCCATGCTGCCAGCTCAGCTTTGCTGGCTGGTGCATTAGGAGATGTAGTCAAGACTCCATTTGTTCCCTGCCAGTTCCCCTACTAGCTCTGGTGGGGAAACAAGAAAGTATTTTGCACACCTTTTCCTTGCAAGCCCACATCTGGACTAGATGCAGGGACACGTGTCAGGGTTTAATCTCCATAGGTACAAATTGTTCAAGAAGGACTGGCAGGGAGGAAAAGACAGGAAGGAAGCAAGGGGAGCAGCAAAATGAAGACACCAGATTTCAGAAAGGCAGGCTTTAAGAAACTCAGGGAACTGGTAGGCAGGATTCTCTGGAAGACCAGTCTGAGAAGAAAGGTTGTTTAGGAGAGCTGGTCTTACTTTAAGACTATTGCTCCTTGTCCTGTCTGCTGTGGCCACAGAAAATACACTATCTGCATCCTCCATATAATGATCATTCAGCTATTTGAAGAGAAACTTCTGGAGATGGGGAGCATGACAGAATCAAGCCCCAGAGGTGGCCACAACGCCCCTTGGTGGCTGCACCGTTCCTGCCCTGCTCAGGCTCCTTAGGGTACCCTCCCCTTCCTCTTGCCTGTACACCTTTGTTAGGATTAGTTGGTTATAAAAAGGGAGGCTGCCACAGGATCTCTGAGTGAACCTTTGTCTTGTTACTGGTCAGTGGGTCTCTCTCAAACCCTGTTGATCTCCGTCCTATCTCTCGGGCATTAGGTGGGGTCCTCCTGGCCCCTTCCGTGTTCTAATGCACCAGTTCCCTTAAGGGCTAAAATCCCGCCTTGTGCCTTAACCTCGGTATGCCTCTTAGGCGCTCTCCTGCAGTCTCCTCATAGCCCCTTGTAGCCACCTCCACTAGCTTAAACTTAAGCAAACAAAAAATAATAAGCAACTGCTTAACATAAACCATCTCCCCCTCTTGGGGTTCAACAGCTATTTGTCTAGCCATCCTCCCACAGGGCTCTCACCTTCCTGCCTCCAGAGCATTTACTGCCTGCCAGCATCTTTCAGGCAGCTCCTCCCTGCTGTGAGCTCTGTCCCTGTAGACAGCACCATCCTTCCTCTCTCCAGGTGCTGGCTTTTAAGCTTCCCAGAGCAGGGCTCCTCTTGGGTCAGGTGATTCTCTAGCCCAGAGGTTCCCAAACTCTGACCAATTGGGCACCACCAATTTAAAATGATACAACCTTAAGTACCACCAGCACATTTTTGTCATATAAAGTCATTATAATAAATCTGCTAATGCGTACCACTAACAGTTGTCTGCATAGCACTGGTGGTACCTGTACCACAGATTGGAAACCACTGTTCTAGCCCCAGCATAGCTCTCCTTCCTTTATTCTGATATGCAAACTATGACTGCTAGTTTCGCTGCCATACCAGTACCCTTGCTACTCAAACAGGACTCTGCCCTACTGTCCTACTGCTGGCCGGCTAGCCCAGCAATAGGTGCTTGCAACCTGGGGGTTCCTGGCTGCTTATTCCCTTGCAGCCAGCCCATAATGAGCAGTCCTTCCCTCCGAGCTGGGGAGCTTCCTGCAGATGCTTCTTCCTTAAAGTAAAGGAGTCCCCGGTTCCTTGTTACAGAGGGTTTGATTAGGTGACCTCCTGAGGTCCCTTCCAACCTTATTATTCTATGATTTTGATTGCACCCCTGCGTGGGTGTTCAATTCAACCAAGACTGGTACTTGACATCTAAAATTGCAGTACTATAGGATTCTGCACCCTATACGATTTCCTCAGATCTTGTCTGAAGCTGGATAAAGCAAAAAGAAATCCTTGCACCCGTGTTACCATGATAGCTGCACTCAACTGAATTGCAAGGGGTCCAGTTAAGCACACATTCCTACTCCTGCTTAGTATATATGGAAAATGGCTACACAAATATTGAAAGACTCTCTATGCCAACATGAGATCAACTTTTTAACTGAATCTATTTGTACTCAAAAGTGAGTGTCCTCTGCCATTCTCTCTCTACACCTTAGGTCATATTTTTGGATGAAATTTTTTTACTGGCTTTCTACATCCTGTTTTCACTCCCATTCCTATCATTCTCCCTTCCCCTCCCCACACTGCAGTTCAAAAATACAATTATCTTTGGGCTGGGAATGGGGATGAGAATTTATATTGGTTGACCTAATCAAGGCCCTTGCATCTTTCCAAAACTTGGGCCCAACTCCTGTCAGGCAATTTCCTTTTGGGTTGGGATACTTCTTCTCTACATTTCTTTGATATTGAATCTTAACAACCAGAGTTGGGTCCATCAGACACAGATCACCTTTTTAAAATTTCACATACACAATATTTTCTGAAGACTTTCAGGAAAAGTGCCACTTTCTTTTCATCCCACTGTCTTACCTCAACAGGCTGAGAATCTCCCAGGACAAAAATGTGTATCATGTTCACATCTGGGTCCTTCTTGAAGATATTGGGCTTTGCATGATGCTGGAAGTGACGGTGATTCCACCAGTTTGCTGAAGCACCCTAGGGATGGGAAGAAGGAAGAATAGTTAGTCTGCAAAAAGGCATAGTCTCTCCCTACTAGAATATCTATTTCAGTGCAACTTTGATTATACCCAAACGATTGACTATCTCTTAAAATTGTTCTAAATGTTAAAGAGCTACATCCTTAGTTGATATAAATCTCACTAATACAGAGGAACTGACTGAGACTATAAAGGGGGAGATACTATGGATAGAAGCTCACTCTTGTAAGGGAAGGAAGGTTTGAGAGTAGCAGGATAAGAATAAGGGAGTTCAGTACACTCAGGGAGCTTGTAGGGAGACTGTCTTCGGAAGATATTTTTAAATGATGCAAGAATGTAGAAGAGAGGTCAGTTTCTGAAGGAGACCACAAGGAGTTGTTAATGAACAACTGAAAGCCATCTTGATATGGAGGAGAGAGGGGAAGCATCATATGAGACCACTGTGGCTTCCTGAGGAGCTCCCTACTGATCTGAAAATCAAAAAGGAATTACAGAAAAAGAAGACATGAGGACACATAGTGAATGAAGAGCACAAAATAGCAGGAATTTGTAGGGAA